TTTTTTTTATAGTTATACTCTATAATATTTTCAAAGGCAATCTGGAACAGGCAATGTACGAATTATAATTAAACATTATGTTCAGAGTCTTTGGCAAATTGAGCGGTGACCGATGTCAATTACGTTGACGGCGTATATTATGATTTCTGACGATAGTATCATGACGCCATGGAATTCATAACTAACGTCAATTGTAGGCAATCGACATACTCGGAAATACCTAATTTAATTATCATAAGTTCTTGTTTTTATTTTGAGCTTCAACATTATCTTAAATAATATTTTTCATGTCATTTCTGGTTTAACTATTGGTTTTACACGATTCCCATTCAAAAAGTACATATTTTGTGTTTTTCTGAGCGAAAATATATTATTTGTTCTATATGAGTGTTCGCAATTCTTTCGCATTTTTTTGATGTATATTGCCAAATAGTAAAAATTTATTTCACAATTGTGAAAGTGAATCTATGAGCGAAATTATCATCTAAATGACAACTTTATATGAATTAATTAAAAATTTAACGTCATTTGCCCTTGTATTTCTCTCATATACTTGCTCATTCCTCTCTCTCTCTCTCTCGCTAAATAGTCTTAATTAACATCAAATTTTTTTTTACTAAAATCAATTTGCGTATGAATTTTGAGTAATATTTGAAAAAAAAAACTTAAATACAATACTTTAAACTTGTTTTATTAATGGGAAAAATTTCCCAAAAACAAAGGGGGGGATTTTTTCCATTCCAAAATGCCAACTTTTGCGTCAATTCAATTTTCAATTAATAATTAATTTTGAGTTAACAATACATTTTTTTGTTTAAAAAAATAAAAAAACAAGGCTGAGTTGAGGAGAGGGAACCGAACCCATTTTAGAATATTTCGTAAAAGGATTAAGTACCAGTTTTGTGTATGCTTCAAAAATTTTTTTTTGAGTAACTCATTCTGTATTCTAAATTTTATAATACATACGTCAAAATCATTTTCCTATACATACATACTTACCTACCTTAATTTTATTCTTATTAATTAATTTAAATTAAAATTCATAAAATTCTTAAGAGGCGAATTATTTTTTTTATTTTAAAATAAAAAAACATTTTATTTAAATTCTTTTGACAACAAGTGTCCAATAGAAGAAATGTTTAAAAACTTACATAAGCGGAAATTCCTGGAATTTTGGAATCCGAAGCTTTTTTTTGAGTTTTAATAAAATCAAAAAAAAATTTTGAATAAAATTTTTTTTTTGATTTTTTTATTCTATTTGTAAGTAAGTATGTATATAATTATAATACTTTGTTGTTAATACGAAACTAAACAATTATTGTGCTAAAAAGATATAAAATGATAGGTAAAAATAATAAAAACTATTTCAAATTGATATTTTGAATTTAGATGGTGACGACTGATGACGGTTATTGTTAAATAATAAATTTCACAATTTAGAAAGGAATATGTATGTGCGTATGTTTTCGTAATGACAATTCATCACATAAAAACCAAAAAAAAAAACAAACAAAGATGGTTGAAAATTAAATCAATAAATTTTAACTTTATTATGAGATTTGATAATTAAAAAATGTTAGGGAAAAAATAACGCTTACTGACTTGGAAACATGAAAGGAACCCGAAAATTACCAAGATCTTTAATTAATTACAATCCAAAAAAAACGAGAAAAATTTAGTTAACCGTGTCAACTCTTTTGTATTTTGTCGGAACAGTTGTTCTGTTACTTAAAATCTTTTACACAAAATTTAAATACACTATTCTTTATGGTTTCCAAGATACAATCAGTCATTTTTAGCACTTTTCCAAAAAATTTTTTGAAAAAAGTGCTTATTAGTTTCACTCTGTCCGTCCGTTCGTCCGTCCGTCCGTCCGTGGACACTTTTTTTGTTTACAAAACTTCTACACCCTTGAAGATAGAAAGCTGAAATTTTATATGTATGTAGATCTTTACTAGAAACTTACTTCCGTAGAAGAAAATTTTTACCTATCTCCCCCCCTCTAGAAGTTATACCTCCCCAAAACCTTAAAAATGGCCTTTTTTAACTATTTGTTGCAATGAAACCATAAGCATTTTTGAAATTTTGCAAACGCAGAAAGGCAGTGGCTTGCTTCCACTAGCGCGATATACTATAGTTAGACTTTAGAAAAACAAAATGGCCTTTCAAATTTACCGTTATCTAAGGTCCTTTTTTTCCAAATTTTTGATGTCGTTTTTCTTCTAGACCCCAGCCTGTAGAAGCTTGAAATTTTAGGAGCTTTTAGATATTAATAAATAGTTCATTTCGTTAGAAGAAAATTTTTTTCCATCTCCACCCCCTCTCAAGTTATCGCCCCTTGAAATTTGTAAAATTTGAATTTTTGACACCTTATATTTCCGAAATCGCACGTTTTTTTAAAATTTCTATAAACGCAAAAAGCTAACGGTAAATTCCATGACATTAAAAAATATAATTATTTTCCTTAACTCACACAATTAACTCTTAAAATCGAGCATTATGTTAACCCCTCTTTATATTAATTTTTGCTTTATTTCAAAGACTGCATAAATCGTTCATCCTAAAAATGTGCAATCCTAGAAAGAGTTTTTGTATATGAATGAAAATAATTTTAATAGTGTGATGGATATACATAGACTGTATTTAAAAGCAGAATTTTCACTTGTTGAAGGGAAAAGTGCTACAATACAAACCATTGGTTTGACCCAACTTTGTATTGTAGCACTCAACAGCTGTGTAAGTTCTTTAGCAAATATTATTAGAATAGAAGCAATAGTAGCAAAGTTGTTTGTGAAAATTTCAGTGATCTCATTATATTTATCATAGCTACTCCTATTACTACTGTTGTTTCAATTACACCCAAATTATATTGCATTATAGCTACTACTTTTGCTGTTTTAATCACATCCAAATTGAATAAAATTCCTTACATTTGTTATATTTGTGTAAATATATTGACGGAAGGGCAGACTTAACTAAATCGACTAAGAATTTCACGTTCAGATGCCTATTTCGTAGCGTTACAAACAGAATGGTATATTTATAATACCCTCTGCGCATTCGTTAATACGAAATAACAAGGGTTTATGATACAAATACATACATATACTTTTTTTAATTATTTAATATGTTTCGGATTCGTCAATTATTTACTAAAAAAATATCCTGTATTTTTGAAATGAATGTGTTTATGAAATAAATATTTTTTAATAAGAAACTTTTTTTTGTTTGCTCACGCGAATTGACAATTTTTCAAAATAATTTTGTTTTAAAATGAACAGAAAAGTTTCGCTGAAATAATTCAGAAAAATTTTCATAAAATCAATAAATTATTTAATTGATTGGGGGATTGGGCGATACAGCGATAGTATTGCAAATTATTTCACTTTAAAATCAAATTTCTTTTTCATTATGGCATAGATGCGTTCTATTTCTGTATTAAGTATGTACATATATTAAATGAGGGAATAATTCGAAAGACAACTAAAGCTTTTAATGTACACGTACGCACGCTAACACTATTTTTATTAAATTAAACAGTAAACTTCGCTTCTTTTGAAAATCAGCAAACACTTCAATTATTTATGTAATTATGTAAAAAATCAAATTAAATTTTTCAAAACTTGAAAATTCAAGGTCTTATTGAAAATTAAGAAAAATTTCCTTATAAATTTTAACAAAAAGGATATTGCAATTGTTGTACATGCATACAGCAGGTATGCATTGGTGGGTGCCAGAAGTAAAACTAAACTACTTCATTTATTAAAGAAAACCATGAGCATTAGGTAAGAAAGTAATTTTGTTTCTTTAATTATAGCAAAACAAAATGTGATCAATTTTTTTTTTAATTTTTTTTGTTTGTTTGTGATTTTCTGAGTTGTTTTTACAATTTTATGATCTTGGGTTTCTTAAATTCCAATTTCTAATGTTTCAAATTTTTAAATGTTTAATATGTCAAAAGAAAATTGTCATAACTAATAATATTGTTATACAGTAAAACAACTTAAGTAAATTGAAATCTTTTTGTGGTTTCAAGGAAAATATTGTCATAGTGGCATTTGAAACTTCTTAAATTTAGTTCAAATTTGAATTCGCCGTTGTAGAAAATTTTGTATTTAATGTATTTAATATAGCTCTGAAGTTATCGGTTGGACTTAGCAACCGACGGCAAACTTTCGTGGGTTATGGTCAAATGTGTACTGTTTGAGCATGAGTATGGGTAGCTCGATTTTCTTACATTACCTTCTTATAAGAAGAAAAGACATTTTCAACTGATTTTTTTGTTTTGACAAAAAATAATAAACTTGCTTGGAATTTTATGTAATTTTATGAACCTATATATCTATATTACTTATGATTGTGACTGTGATTTTTTGGAAAAAGTTTTCTAATTTTAATAGTGGCAATAGAATATTTTTTTTTGGGGTTGACCGGCCGCATTGTAAAGTTGAAAGAGTTGTCCATTCGCCGCCATTTGTTAATTCCAGGTATATAAATTAAAATTTTGTTCTTAATTTTCGTGTAAAGTTTCCTTAAACTTTAATTAAATTGAGACATGCTTTTTTGACTTAGTTTCATTAGGCCCAAGATTTTTTTTACAAGAAAATCCTATTTATATATATTTTAAAGAAAATTAAGTAAAAAATTTTAATTTTATATTATAACAAATTTATTAATTTTTTAATATTTTTTTTTCTAAGTATTTTGTAATAAAAACAAGCATAAATTATAGGAACGTAATTTATTTTAATAGAATTTCATTGATATCTTATCTATATTAATTTATAGTATTAGGATTTATTTAATCAAAAACTACAATATAGATTTTATTCATAGACACATGCTATAATGGAAAAATAATCAACCTAAAGTATTATTTAATTTCTCTTTAACTACTTCTACATATACAAATATAAAAATATTATAAAATTTGTTAATATATAATTTAAATATATGGTAAATAATATGAGAGTAAAAATGAATTTGCAAAAAATACTTACCAAATTAAAATTAAAATTCAAAGTGCAATGAAAAATGTTTTGTGTCTGCTCAAATTCAAGATTAAATGTTTCAAAACAAAATTCAAAATTAAATTAAAATCAAAATAAAAGCAAAATATAAATTTTTTCTTTAAAATAAATTAAATTTGCATAAAATTAAACCAGTTGTTAAGGTTAAATTAGAAAATTTTATAAAAAAAAATTAAAATGTAAATTTCAAAATTGACACACGACAAACAGAAAAAATCTAAATATTTAAATTAACTTTAACACAATCTGACTGTAAGTTTTTAAAACTACTTAGGTAATTTAATATTGTCCCAATAAAAATAAAAAAAAAAATAAATTAAATATTTCAATTATTTGAATATTTTAATATTAAATTAGTTTATCATTTAAAATATTATTGAACAATTACTTGAAAAGTTTTTATAAAAATTACACTTCTAATATTAACAAATACATTTACTGGCAATAAAATTAAGTTTGGGAAATTTTCTCTTCTAAGATTTATTTTTTTTAGTTTCTCTTTTTTCACTGAGTCCAATTTAAAAGATCCTTCTTTTATAACTAAAATTCCTTGTGTACATATTTCAATTAATCTAAAATAAAATAAAATAAAAAAATTCAAGCGAAAACACAAAATTTAATTTTAAAAAGATTTGACTAATGAAATTATGAAAAAAAAAATTTTAAATTAAATTGAGAAATAAAATTGTTTGACATTTAAAAATAATTATGATTGTTTATAAAATTTAGAATTCTATTTACCGTTCCAAAAGTAATCATCATATATAAATCTCATGTTTTCTATTTAATGCAAAACCTTTCTCCAGCCACTTAATAAAGATTATTAAAAATTGTTTAACAAATTTCTTTTTCTCACTATTAAAAATTAAATTTTTAGGAAATTTTCGAAAAAAAATTCCGTGTAGTTTCAAAAATTTGTTTTTTTTTAAATTCACAATATTTTAAAAATTATCCACAATTTCTTAATAAATTGAGAGAAATAGAGAGAGAGAGATTAATAAATTAATATTTCTCACTTGGATTTGACACTGTCAAATTAAATTATTCACAATAAAAAAAATTTTTTAATGTTTTTTTTTCTGTATTTAAAAATTTTTTTAAATTTTTTAATTTTCAAATATGTTATGTTTTTGTTTTTCGCCAAATTTGTTATTAAATTTTCTTTTTAAATAATTTCAAATTTTCAAATGCAAATTTTTAGATTTTTAATTTTTTATGTAATTTATTTTAAAATTCCTAAGAAAATTAAATGTGCGACTGATCGGCTATAAAGACCGCAAAATAATAAAAGAATAGAAAATAGAAAATGAATGTTATAAATCCAAGTAGAGTCGACTTACTAAAAAATGAGTTAAACACGTATTTAATTATTTGCAGCTAAAAAATAAAGCAGCAGCAAAAACAAAAAAAAAACAAATACAAAAACAAATTTTAAGTAACTTAGTTAGTAGTCAATTAGAGTCTCATGCAATCAGTATCGGAAAAAAAAGAAAAAAATAATAAAAATAAGAAAATTATGAAAAAAGGGAAAAATAAATCGCCTTAAACTTTACTGATTTTTGTTTTGTTTCTGTTTTATTTTTTCATTTTAGTTATTATTCTTATTGTAAACTGTTGTTAGTATTGTTGTGTTTATGTGCTATTGTTGTTTATTGTTGTTATTGTTGGTAATATTTTGAGTTGTCATTAAAACCGGTGCATTATTATCTTCATATGTATGTATGTATATGTATGCATAAGTTTTGCTTACTAAAATTTTTCTTTTGTTATTTCTTTTTTCGCTAAAATTGTTTTTTTTTTATTTATTTTGTGTATTCGTAGCCGTTTGTTTTATTGCATTTACATATCCTAAGAAAACAATATTATAATAAAAGACATGGCCAAATTAATAATCGATTAAGTACTTATTAATTTTGAAAGTACTATATTATTGAAAGCGAATAAAATGTCATATTAAATTTTAAAATGGTGGTATGAAGTTTTATTTGGCTTAGAGGTTTGTTGTACACGCATAGTTATGCATGGATGTACTTACAACTACCAGTTTGAATGTTAATTATATTATTTTTCTATCAAAATTTTTTGAAATTTTACTAATTTATGACTCATTCATACTAGAACGAATAACATACTCGTATTATCAATAGTGTTTAATTACAAATTTTATATAAGGAAACATGTGTTTCAGAACAATAGGTTAATCTAAATATGTTTTTCTATAAGTATGTGAATGATTTTTTTGAGATTTTTTGGTAAATCAAAGAAAAGATTAAAGAAGCCCTTTGTATAAAAAATTTAATTTCGTTAAATTTAAATTGGCAACGTGTGACCGTTTTTTCTTAATTTAATTTTAATAAATAATAAAAGAATAGAGATTTTCATAAACACAATACTGCAAAACAATAATGTACTACATACGCAATATATTTTCAACAGTTCTACAAAAATTTTCGCTATTTGAATTCGCAGTATTGTGTTCATGAACAAAAAAAAATTTATTTATTTTGCGCCAAATAGTGGAAAATTCTATATCAGGAAAATTAAAGATTAAGAAAAATAAAAAATTGTTGTTTAAGTACAACAATTAACAAACGAAATCCTAAAAAAACTGCAAAAACCAGTAAAAAAAATAAAGCTGATTTAACTGCGCTAGCCATGATAATTTAAATATTTTTGCGATAGGTTTATGAAAAAACTTGATTAGCAGCATTTGTTTATGAACACAAATATAGCGCAGTTCTCGCTATATATCTGATACACTGAGTTTATGACAAGGTCTAATGACATATGAAAACACGTTAATACTGTTTAAATCCGATTTTCTATAGCCAGTTAATTGAGAATAAAAACAGAAGAATATTCTTACTCATGGACTGTTCTAGAATAGATGCATTTTGCAGATTGTAGATTAGCACATAATTAGTTTTACAGAAAAAAAATTTACTTTTTAAGGGGAGAACTTAATTGAAGTGGTTGAAATACAATTAAAATTTATCCCAAAACTAAGTAATTTTGTTAAAGAGTCGTTTCATCGCTTATTAAATATAGTGAAATATGTTTAGAATTACCATTTTAACTCGTTTACGTAAATATGTCTAATGGCTACTATTTATAAAGAAATAGTCTATTTTATTAGAACAAAATTTTTTCTCAAGTCAGTCTAATATAAAATATACACATACGTATGTATGTTTGTTCAGTCTATTTGCTTTTGAAAATTTTAGTTAAATATATTTTGTTAGTCAAACAATTTTGCCATGTCGTTTTCATATTTTAGACCCCCTAGTGATAACTTCTATTTTTACAATTAAAATAACAATATATCTACCTACATAATAAACATAATATGTATGTATGCATATTATAAACTATAATATTTATTATAATTGTAAATGTATATTATTAAAACAGTTATATTTCTTTTATATTTGAATATTGTTTATTTTTTTTTTTAATATTTTCTAGTCATTATTTAGTTTTGTATTTTTTATACATACCTTAGTAGCTTCTTAGTATTGTTATTATTGATATTGTTATTTGTATGTTAGTCACATGTATTTAGGTATTAATATCGCGGTTTTTTTTTCAAATTATTAAGCATGCGCAGTGTTAACGTACAAAATATTATATCATATTGGATATATTTATTATGTAGGTATTGTTGTTGTTGTTTCTTAAAACAGAAAAATTTTACGTACAAACTCAGTACTACAGTAAGTATATAAAATAAAAATACAAAAGTAGAAAAAAATAAATAAAAAGTAAATGAAATAATCGCGATTAGAATATCAAAAATGTTATTTTTGCTTTTTGTTTTTCATTCGTATTTCAATATCAGTAAAACATTCAAAACTAAAACAAAAGAGAGACACGGCGAAAAAATGGTAAAAAAAAAAACAAAATACACACCTTGTCTCAAATATTGTTTTTATGTTTTCTTTTTCTTTTTTAGTTTCAGAAATTTTTGATACGTTTTCGTTTCATCGCTTTTGAACCGTAATGATAGATTTATTGTTTTATTTTACCTTAAAAGATCAGTAGTTTTTTCTTTGCAAAATATTTATAAAAAATTAATATTGGTTTTTTTCACAAATTGTTATGTTTTTAATAAGAATTTAAAATTTTTCTAAATAAATTTTTTATGTAAAAATAAAATAAAACTTTGAACTAATATAAATTTATTAACGAAGTATGCGCTGACCGATTTCTCATCAATAATAAAAATTATTATTAATTAAATTAAAAACAAAAATACAAACAAAAAAACACTACCAACAAACGAACCGTCAGAATAACCGCTCGAATTCATACTGAGGTTAAAATTTATGTAAGCGAGAAAAAAAAAATTAAGTATGAAAATTACGATAAGATCGAACTTTGGTTATTGTTGTAGTCATCATTTATGTACTCATCAAAAAAAAAAAAAAAATGTAAAAAAGAAAAAAACAGAAACCAAAACGTACAAAATTTTGAGAAACGTTTTCCGTTCATTCCCAAATATGTCAATAAACACACAATTGTACACTTCTATTGTGAAGAACGTTACGTATACGCATATGTTATTTACTCTTTAATTTTCTGTTTTGATATTTATATAGTTAGTTTATTGTGCTTAAAATATAAGGTAATATTCTTAATAATTGGGATTTTTAACTTAAGACTTAGACATAGTCAGAATTGTATGAGTGTAAACTATATTAATTCTTATATTCAATTGACGCAATGCTAATTTATAATGCTACGTGAATACGTGAATGAGAGTATTTGACATTTACATGTTGATGTTTATGTTCTATTAATTTTATTATTTCCCTCTTTAACGTTTTTTAAATAGCTAATTCTTATTATTACAAATATGATTTTCTTATATGAATACTTAAATGATTAGATGATTACCTAAATTGGTTGCCTTACTTGAAAGAGAGAGATATTTATTAAAGTTCTCTCTATATCTCGTATTTGATAAATACATTCGTCTATTCTGATTATCGTAGTATTGTATTGTGAATGAGATTTTACTCGATTTTATTAGAATTTATACCTTAAGATGAAAGTGTTTAAATTGAATAAGATAATTAAAGTTTGTTATACTTTAACTATAGCTTTTTAACAAATATGGTTTACTACAATTTTTGTATTAAAAATCTGTAAAATGTTCGTTATGCATAAATTTCGTAAGGTATTTTTAAATAAAGTATCCGT